ATTATTATTATTATTATTATTATTATTATTATTATTATTATTATTATCATCATTATTATTGTTATGATGGGTATTATTATTATATTGTAGCCAGTCACAGAAAAAGACCAGGATGAGGGAGAACAGATGGATGAGGGAGAACAGATGGGTGAGGGAAAACAAGAAGATAAGCCAGATGAAAGAAGAAGAAAGATGAGCAAGCTTCTTTTTTCCCATTGAAAACTCACGTTTAGAGAATGTTACAAATAAAACAAAAATCACACAAAACACACATGTATTTTTTTCTATAATTAAGTGTTCCACGTGCGCTAAAAAGCACCCTCCCCGACCCCCCTCCTGAGCACCTGCCCCCCAAAATGTCTGTGCACGCCTCTGTATATGATAATATAAAACATTACTTGTTTCTTCACTGTAGAAACGAGTAATGCAAATTTTACAAAAGATGAATGTATCATACGGTTCCCTATACAGCGTATGAGATTTCCAAAAGGTTTGGAAGTTATGTACAGTAGTAGTCATTCAAAATGTATGCATTTTCCTTGATAAGCTCTTGGCTGGTCCCCTACAATTCCTTTTTAAACATCAATATTTAAACTAAAACATTCATTCTGTCATGATTTGTGGATATTAATATCTAAACATAAGCGTTATCTCCTTGTCAGACCCTGTAATCCAGTGAAAGGGTGGAGTCAGAGTAATGAAATATGTAAGAGGTGGTCACTCCAGTGGCTGGAAGTTAGAGGGGATTTTGCTGGGAGTTGGAGGGAGGTGGGCTGCCATTTGGATTGCATTTGACTGGGAAGGGCCATTTTGAATGGCTGCTACTGTATGTGGTCAAAAATATATTTAACTAGGATCTGTATTTCTTTGTTTTAAGACCATATTTCTTTTTCTTTAAGACCAGAGCTGTTTGATGGTTAGTCAGCTCTATGACTATCTCTACATTAATGAGGAAAAGACCTGGACTGAAGCTCAGCAGTACTGCAGAGAGAACCACACTGACCTGGCCACAGTGTCTAACATGACAGACATGAAGAGACTCCTCAGTACCAGAGCAGGACACATCAAGGAAGCTTGGATTGGTCTGTATGACCAGACAGATGGTGACAGAACATGGTACTGGTCTCTGCCTGGAGTGGAGTTCAATGAAAGTGAGACAAACTGGAACAAAAATGAACCAAATAATGTTAAGGCAACTCAAAACTGTGGTATTATATGGAGAGATCGAAAATGGGGAGATGAGTCCTGCAATAAACATTTCTATTATCTCTGCTACAATGGTATGAAAAAAATTCCTGATACTGCTAATTTAGAGATATTAGTGACAATATGACAAACCGTGGGGGGAAAGTAGTTGGAAAACAATTAACAGTTAAATGATCTACAGAAGTATTATTATTATTTCCCTTGTTTTTTGTCTTTTTACTTCACAGAAACTAATGTGTTAAACAAATTCTACTTAAGTAATGAAAAGAAGACCTGGCTGGAAGCTCAGAGTTACTGCAGAGAGAAACACACAGACCTGATCAGTGGAATGAAGCAGCTGGAGAATGAACAACTTAAAGACACATTCTTTTTTTCCACTCTTAATGAAAA